GTATGATAATAATTATATTGTTTTGCTGTTTTCAGCTTTTACCCAAGTAAAATCACTGACAAGCCTAAATGCATTCTGACTATACCTTTATATATGTTTTCTGGCAGAAAACAACTACTTCTTTAGCGGATAACTCGGCATATATTGAAAAATGTACAATTGATATTGAAATGTATATAAGTGTAGATGTGTAATCAACCCCGAAAAGTTGCTGCGTTGATTAAAAACAGTTATTCTAAATGAAACATTAGTCAGCAACTTCCTACATAATGTAAATTTGACTATCAAACGACTGTTAACGTCGGACATAAGTGCAAAGATTCTCACTTTGGAGAAACAACTTTGCAAGAGCTCAATAGGACAAATAGTGGGACTTCGCTTGATTCGAACAAGGAACCAACTGCGTACCGTTTTTAAGTGTTCCTTGTATATACACAGGGACTCGGTATTCCTCCTAGAGAGCTCTTGCAGAGTTGTTCCTTCAAAGAAAAGATCTTCGCACATATGTCCGAGATATAATTCAACATGCATCTGTTGGGATAGTTGCCAGAGACGTAGTTGTTTTGTCAGACACATGCCATATAATGTACACAAAGGTATATACATTTCCAAAATGAATGTTTGCGACTGTTCTACAGTCCCTATATAATTTTAAGAACGTTTTTCACCGTGACCTGACTGATAAGTATAATAAGTCGTGGGTACATATGAATATTAGGTATTTAAGAAGTATTAGACAAAATTCTCACTCGCACAAATGATGAAATCAAATAAATCAGCTGGAAAATGCAAACATGGATGAGAAAAAGGCACTTCCTGGAGTTTATGTTTTATGCTTCTTCCAACAACAGTTTCTATCGATAAGTTTGGAAAATGTTTACTGAAAATAGTTTCCAAAATGTTCAAATTATCTATAAACTTTTTATTTGGAGTTTGTAGATTTCCAAAAGTATCGTTTTTTGCATTTGGATATGCTCTGAATTGCGTGTACAAAGTTTCTGCACTTGATAATTTATTTTATCTAGCATACACAATGCAAATGTCACATTTGTATTTTTAGAGACATTTTTTCATAAAATAGCGTCTTATGTAACTGAAAGAATTCTGCTCAGTCAACTGTAGATTCGTGTAATCATTGCTGTCTAGGAAAATATATTGAATTATTGTATTCGGTACTAGTACCTCATACTCTTTCAAATTTTCAGTAGGTTGGGTGAAACCCATGAAATTCAACAACTATGGAAGGGTTGCGTGCCTGTCTTGAACTCATAGTTTGCGCAGACCTGAGACTGCAACCCCTGGGTCTGCGTGTAGGAAAATCAAACCAAAAATCACCCGAAGTTGGATTACTGTATATAAGTATACTATGACAGTACTATTTGTTATTTATTGAAAACAATTATTTAAAACTGAGAGAGGGAGAATGTTTCTAAAGTTTGAGATGATTCTTGAAATTCACTCACCGTCCTGATAATAGAAAAAAACATATTTAATGCGTGAGAACAATATTTTATGCACAAACAACTCCGCCTGAATTTATTTTAGTTTCATTATAGATATTTTGATTGGATAAGTGAGAGAAATCCAGTGAATGATGAATTGAATGAGTCTGAAGTGTGTAACTGCACTATGCAAGGAAGGGTTGCAAACTCAATTATTTGGAATCCTTGGAAATTCACAAGCATTAACATTACCTTTGCAACTTCTCAAATGATCAAATCGAATTAGTTTACTCACCGGTTTTCAAATTAGCATATCCACATTGTCACTACTAAACAAAGTCCAGGTACTCAATCAAGCTAAGTACCTCTATCATCACCTATATAAGGGCTAATGTAATCAATCATTGTTGTTTTAATGTATAAGTTTGAAAATGTACTTATAGGACGAAACTGCAGTAACGTTAGTTACAAATAAAAGTGGTAAGAAACATAGAAAGTTTCAATTCTCTTTTCTTCATTACAATTTTGAGTACGTTGAGAGTAGCAGATGTTTCTCGGTACTATTTTCTCTCTCAACATCTGAATACAATGCCTTTGGTGTTGATTATTAATTTGTTAGTATTTTCACACTTGCGCTTTGAGAATGATACTTATCATTTTGAGCAATAGGAAATAGAATTTTTGCTACCTTGTTTACCAAAATTCATATTCGAAAAATGCAGGTCCAACACGTACACTCTCTTTCAAGGAGCACTATAGGATTTCGTTTAATTTCACAGCAGTTCATAAATACACAATTTAGCACATTTTCTGGTATACACTTTGTACTAACTATTTTTTATACAGTCCACTTTTATACAATATTTACAAGTCCTCTAACGCGAATTCTCTCGATCAGTCAGTCTCATTCTGGATATGTTTTTGCCACTTCGTTATATCCATGGTACATGAGGGAGCCATCACCTGAAATCGAGGAAAAACAAATCAACATTTATTGGTGATGAACAATTGTATAGAGTATTCAGGGTAGAAATATGTGAAGGCGATCAAAATAATATGGTTGTAGAGCTGGTTCTGTTTGTGGAAATGTGTACGTTGAGTTATCATTTTTATACGAGGGGAACTATTTTCATTTCCGAAAAAGCGAATAATAACAAATATTTTTTAAAAGAATGGCTTTATCGTTTTTCGAAATATTTCCTTTGATATTCAATCCACTTTTACATTCATTGAAACCATTTGTTAAAGCAGTGTTTCCATTCCTCTTGAGACATCTCAAAAGCATGATTCAACTGCTTCAAGAAAAAAGTCATTGGGTACCAAATCAGAACTGTACAGAAGATAAGTCATTAATTCTACTGCTCAAAATTTTACGTATATGACGAGATGTGTGAGAGCTTGAATTGTCATGATGGAGAATGATTCGTCTTCGGCGGTTAGTTCAACGAATTTCTCCGAAGACTTCCAGCAAACAAATAGTCATGTACCATTCAGATTTCACCGTTCTACGTTGCTTAAGCGGAACACTGGACACATGACACATTCGGACGAAGAAACAGGCGACCATTTGCTTCGCTGTGCTTCTTCCACGAACAACATTTGTTGGATTCAGTTTGTCTAGAAAAACCCACACGGTTGATTGCTGTTTCGTTTCCGGCTCATACGCATATATCTATGATTCGTCACCTGTTACTATTTTATATACACCTTTTGAAGCACCACTGTCAAACTTTTCCAATCATTTCCATACACCACTCGACGTGAGCCATTTTTTGAGCGATTGATAAATTATCGGGTATCCAACGAGAACAATCGAAGGTATTGAAGTGGAACTGATGTGCAAGGATGTCTCTATCTCATATGACCATCTTGTATCATCAGTTCACGCACTGCGTCGATGTCTTGTGTCACAACAACCGATTTTGGACGACCTTAACGAAATTTGTCGGCGACCGAACTATGACCACGATTGAATTCACTATACCAGCGATATACTCTGGTTTTTGATGGTGTTTTATCACCACATAAAAAGTTCATCAACACAATCTAGTTGAGATAATCACTGTATACAAAACAAATAGCACTTGTACATCAAAATATTGCGAGTACGTTCATGCTAAAAATTGTCAAACTTCATTATGGTGTAGCCACATTTTGCCTATTGACATTAGTGTTGCCAGTTCCCGAAATATAAATGGTACCCACTTCGTTGAAACAACAGCGTCACAGAATATCGAAAATCATTCACAAAGTAATAATTCCACTAAGAAACATTTGAATTGTATTGACAAATGCTTTGAGAAAAGTTCTGTTGGTTATAGAAAAATATTTGAATGATGACTTTCTCATTTCGACTGTGATCCTGTGAGTTGGTGTCACACTCTGGACAAATTGAGCTAGTTCATATTTATATAACCTGGCCGGATAAAGAATCTTATCCGGGAGAGGAACCGACTATGTACAGCCTTTACGTGAGCGACCTTCCGAGGTTCGATCACGTGAAGACTTCCCTATACGCCAATGAAACAACTCTCCTCGCTTCTTCCATGGGACGGGGGTTGGCGGTCGTCTACATGCAACGCGCATTGGACGACCTCGAACGCTGGTACCTACAGTGGAAAATTCGGGTGAACCCAGAAAAAACCCAGGCGATAGATTTGGGGAGGCGCAACGTTTCTCCAGACACAAGAGTCACGATCTCAGGCAGGGAGATCGAATGGCAAACGCGAGTCAAATACCTAGGTCTTTGGGTAGACCGCCGACTCACCTGGGTAAATCACGATAAGTACATCAAGGACAGAGTACAAATGAGGATAGCCAAACTCTATCCTCTGATAAATCGAAAGTCTAAACTCAATGTTAAGAACAAGATTTTAATATACAACACGATGTTCAAGCCTGTCATCATGTATGCTTCAGGCGCTTGGGGACGAACCGCTCCGACAAATCTCTCCATTCTGGAGAGATTGCAAAACAAACTTCTCAGGATGCTGGTGAATGCTCTATGGTTCGTGCGGAATGAAGCCATCCGCAGAGATTTGAAGCTGTTAACCATACAGCATGAGGAATCAGAGAGTTTTCGAGTCAGCGGAAACTCATGATAACTCATTAGTTAGGGAAGCTGTAGATTACACTATAGACGACCCCACTCGATTCAGAAGGCCTCGTCGCTCGGTTGAGTGAAGGCCCCACGACGTCTGTTAAAATGAACAGTTTGTTTATCAATACCCCAGTCAGGAAGGGGTACACAAGGCCAGAGCGGCATAGATGTCATTGACCTTTATGCCGTTACCAAAAAACACTCTAAGTTATGAACCACTCGTCCTCCTGACGAGAGACAGTCGAAAGGGTACGGGAGAAGATTTTCAACCTGAACAAAATCAAGATGGATTTCGTCGTATATAACCTGGCCATTAGGTCATAGTCTTTGGCGGGTGTGGTACTGATGTGAAGGAAGCAATGCCGTTTGTCTATTTGTATGATATTTAGTGCTAGAGTATAAAAAATATAATTTTCGTATGTCTAACATGCGAGTTTCGATGTTTACTCTATCAGAGGGATACCTACCATTTTTAGAGAAATAATTTAGGAAAACGCCTTTGCATAATTCCAATTTGATGAATATGACTATTTAATTCTCTTTCCCACACTACTATTTCATAGCGGATATGATTTTCCACAAGCGAGCAGTATAACGTTTTGGGATATTCAAGAGGTAGGAGTTCTTTGAGTTTCCTAATTTGGAATAAAATGGTCCTCAATCTATAGACGGTATATTTAATATGTGGGTCCTATTTGAAATTAGTTCAATTATTTTTTTTTCAGGAAAGATATGGAGAGGTGTATCAGTTTTTATTGTTAATTGATCGAATGGAGGTACTCCAGCTGCATTACAACAGAATGGTGGGTGATGCGTTTTGTCAATATTCACCGTCAGTACCTTCTTATCCAGCCAACATTCTATGAGGGAGAATTCTGTTTCAACTTTCATTTTCAGGAAATTCAAGTTATCTTTTTTATAAAAGATAACAGTGTCATCTGCGAATCCCGTCCCAGCACGGAACATTTAGGTACTCTACAGTCGATCACCTTATCACTGCTCAACATCATCGATTTCTAATGCTTGGTTCCTTCCTGTCAAAAAAATTAAGAATAATTTCAATGAGTTATCTCGTATTCCGATATCTTCTAAAGACTGAAGGCTTAAATGGTGACTGACCGTGTCAAATGCTTTCAAAAGGTTAATGAACAAACACAGACTGATTTCGCATTCATTTAATGCCTCAGTTATTTTTGAAGTCAGAGTGAGTATAGCATCTTGGGTTGATATTTTTTCTCTAAATCCGAATTGATTGTTGGAAATTAGAAAGTATTGATCGTGGACAGCGATGAGCCTTTTTTTATAATATTTTCAAGGGATGAGTGACTGAGGAGATAGGACGATAATATGAGATAATAGATACGGGATATTTCCTCATTGCGTTAAAAAATGTGGGGGCGTCTACAAGACATACTTATTCGAACATAGTTTATAGAAACACAGATCCTGAAATGCATTGTTTCCAAAATAATGTGAAACTCAACTGACGATCCCTATTTCTATTGGAATTTTGAATATCCATTATCACGATAATTGATATAACTTAACGAATAGGAATGCTATATATCTGTTGATCTTTCTAAAGCATTTGACACCGTGTGCCACTAGAAATACTAGAAAAATTTAAAAACTATGGCATGAGAGGTGAGATTCACAAAATTTTTAAGAGTTATTCAACAGATCGTGATCAGAGAGTTCGCATTGGTGAGACTTTGAGTGAACTAATGACTGTTATATATGGAGTACCACAAGAAACGGTACCGGGGCCTCTTTCGTTCACTCTATATATTATTTGTCCACTGAATATAAAAATCGAAGGCAGAATTGTGAGTTTCGCAGACGACACCGGAAGTGGAAGATTATAGAGAAATGGTTCTGATAAAATACTCGGACACTCAATTCAGAAAAAACAGAATAATAACCATTATTCTCATACTCCAATGGACTTCCAGGTATGGGACCTCTGATGTTCGGTCAAAATGCCCAGATTCACCAGGCTGAATCGCTTGAATATTTAGGCATCGTAGTTGATCAACATTTGAAATGGCACCTACAAATGAAACATGTAATGAAGAAGTTCAGAGGAATGCTTTTAAGATTGAAGTATGTCAGATATTTCAAAATACTCTACTTCTACTACGCCTTTGTCCAAACTTAGCTCAACTACGGCATCATAGGTTGGGGTGGTATGAATGACAATAACTTGGAAAAGTTGAACACAATTCACAGATTGATTTTGAAAATAATATTGGCCGAAACTATTACATTTTAAAACAAACAGCTGTATAATGAATCGTGTTCTTTTGATGGCAGGCAACTTTTTTGTTTAGCTATGATCCCCAATATAAAAAATAATAAAATCCCCTTCAAATTTGTGACAAATCAACATAATACTGGAAGGTAATATATTTCGTCAAGCATACCACGCTACGATAACACAATAGGACAGCGTCATTGTAATTATTTGGCATCAAGACTGTATTCTTCACTTCCTGTCGAAATGAAGAACATAAATAATATAGATCTTTTCAAGAAAAAAAACAAAACGACGGCTGTTGAATTGCCAAAGAGAATATATACATGATTTTGTCAACCAGAAGAATAATTGTTGAACTTAAATCTGTTATGAACCATATAAGTCAAATATTGATGGGCATATTTTTACAAATTTTGAATCACATTCACAAATGTTATCTCACTTCTACCAGATATCTCTCTTTAGAGACATTTTGTATTTCAATTTTTAATATTCGATGGAATGTATAAATATCATAAATTTTATCATCGACTTACATAAATTCCATCACAAACCTTCGATTCTCTATTTTACTATTCTCAATGATCATCATGTATTATTACTGTTGTCAATCATGCCTTGAAGAAAATAACTCCGGCCGCCACTGGTAGCCATAAACCAGTTGTGACGTAGCTAAGAGCGCGCAAAAGTATGATGTTCACTGCCGCTCTAGATGCAGTAACAGTGCGGTACGCGAAGCGATCTAGTAAGGTGATAGACATTCGAATAATAGTTGAAGTTTTGGTTGAGGTGTTTATTGTATTCAAAGTGAAATATTTGAAGTGAAATAAAGTTGATTTTGATTATTGTTCAGTGTTGTCAATTTTTGGTCAACTCACGGGGAAAACCTAACATTATTGTTGAACATCTACTGCTCTATGTGAATAGAAATTCACGTACAAGCGATAGTTTCACTGAAACTTGAGCTTCTGTGATCAGCGTTGTTCATTCACTTTCACCATCCTGTATACTTACTGATTGTTTTATTGATTATTAGTGGAAAAATATTAATGATGTTCACTTTTCTATAAAATTAGTTCTAGACATGCCCTTACATGTTTTACCGCAATTAGAATCATCCTGTATGAAGTTTTCATATCTAACAAGTTCATACGGAATATATTGATGTTTTGTTGGATGATTATTCAATTTAGTAAATAAAAAGGATTGTTTTGCGCTTATTTTCAGTTTTGATGAGCAAAGCGAGGCCAACAACAACAACATTTCAAATATTCGACCAAAAGTAATTCTGCATAGTTTGTTGCAATTAATTCAGAGATAGGATTCAGAGATAGGAAAACATCATATAACTGAAAGTTTATGGGATAACATTTTAAACTTTGGCAGGTACCTTGCAATTAATATTTTTTTGTATTCTGAGGAATATTGAATATAAAGTACTAGCATTCATATCAGAAATATCAGAATTTTTTCCCATAACACACCTTAATGGAATTGGATTTTTTTTTCAATTAGACCAATGATAACATAACATCATTGTCATCTGTTACTTGTCAGAATTGACATTTTGACCTATATCCGCATAATAACTTGAAAATATTATAAAATAATAGATTCACACGTTAATAGGCTTCACACGTTAAAAGGTAAGACCTCGTTAGTCCTTAGCTCGCACAAGTTTCTCAACTTCTGAGAGTTGTCGTTCGTATGGGGGCGACAGCTGATTAACGGAAAAACAGATTTTAA